TTTCAGGAGCTTTAGTGACTCAGAGACTTCACTGAAAAGCCCATCTCAACATGGGTGATAACTCAAACGAGCTGCATCACCAGTGCTCTCTGCACAACCTGCAGGCAGCTCCAATGAGTAGTCATCTCTTCCCCAGCAGTTGTTTACTGCATGTATAACCTTGGGGGACCGGCCTTGCAAATCCAGTAAGTTTCCTTAACTTGCAAGCTACCTTCCAGTAGAGAATGGTGCAGTACAGAGGAGACAGCTACAAAGAGGGCTCTTTTTCTGGCTTGCCAACAACATTATCTCATATAGCAAAGAGAGGAAAAGTGTGGTGAGGGAGAGGGGAGAGAAAGTGAAGGAAGCACTCTACTTATAAGAACCCAAGTTCCATCATTCTTAGGACCTCCTCTGCCTAGTGACCACCCTCAAAGGCCCCATCTCCAAACACCTTCACACTGAAGGTCAGGACAACAAATATTCATACCACGATGAGTAGTTTCCATTTATTGTGTTTATGATGTGCCAGGCACTGTTTTCTAGGACTTTTCGGGAACTGACTCCTTCAGTCTGCCCCCTGCAACTCTAGAGGTAAATGCTATCTATAATTATCCCCATCTTATAGACAAGGAGACGCAGAACAACTTGAAGTCAGACAAGGACTAAATGTTAGAGCTGGAGAGCATCCCTGGGTGGCTGCCAACTGTGTTATTAACCATGGCTCTAAATGCAGTTAGTAAATAGCTTTTAAAGGTTTCATCCTGGTAAATTTCAACTGTGGAAGACAAAGCTTCTTTGTTCTTCACTTCCGGTCTTCACATCTCTGTGCCCAGGACGGGGATTCACTCCGGGAACTTCTGTATATGGATGTGACTGGTGGCTAGTGCTCAGTGAAGCCCCTCAGAGGTTTTCCTGGGAGTTCGGCTTGGTTGGTTTGACTTGGTGGTTTTTGTCTTAATTATCTGACATGTTGACTTCTGTTATTCCTCTAATTTCTGTGTGAAATGACCAGTATATTAGTGAAGATGTGAGCTGAGGTGAAACTTGAGAGTTCTAGCCAGAGTCCTGGCTTGCTAGAAACATCCATGACCATGGATGCACCACTGTCTTTCTGGCCAGATGCCAGAATTTTTTCCTGTACTGTGACTTCAACCAGCCCCTTCTAAACACTACCACAGTCACCTGACCAAATAAACAGAGAAAGCTTCTAGAACATGAGCCAAAATGCTGTTTTGTCAACCAATACCCATCCGTACAAACTGTCCGAAGTCCCAGGTACTAAGGCACTGTTTCATCCCTGTCGTTAAACTGGGCTATGTTCGTGCTAGCCAATGAAAAGCTGCTGCTGTACGTTCCAGTCACTCGCTCTCAAAGTATTTTCTTGTGCTGGAATTGTTATTATGAGGCCTTCTTTTGGGTTGGGTTCATCACTTTGCACTGTAAAATAGCTTAACAGTGCATTGCTGCAGCCAGAACACACACACATATATTTGAAAATATGCCATATAGTTGTATACAAATAAACAAGCTCTGTGGCCTCGGAATGAAGTAGAAGGGGCTTCGGGTTTCCTCACTAACAAAGGCACCTCTTCATATAAATACATCTGGATTTTAGGGTGCCATATTGTTAAAATAGATAACTTATATTGAATCGTAAATGTGTTTCATCAGTAACAAATTTTATTACATTTCCCACTTGAAAAACATTTTGATTGTTTTATATTTTATGTGTATAAGTGTTTTGTCAGCCTGTAAGTAAGTGCACCTGTGTATGCAATACTCACAGAGGCCAGAACGTATGCCCTTGAACTGGAATTAAGGATGGTTGTTAGCCTCTATGTGGGTGCTGGGAACCAAACCTGCAATAGCAGCCAGTGCTCTTAACCACTGAGCCATCTCTCCAGTGCCCTACATTTCCCAGTTTTAACAGAGGTGGGTACAGAACCTCCATTCTTCAGTCATTCCAGGTGGATCTAAATTTTATATTCAAGCTTTTTTTGGAGTCAGAGTCTCCCGGTAGTTCCACTTGGCCCAGAACGATGTAGATCAAGCTGGTCTCAGTTTCATAGAGATCTGCCTGCCCCTGCCTCCTGAGCACTGGGATTAAAGGTGTGTACCACCATGTCCAGCCCTATACTGAAACTTTTAATGCAGTTTTTGAGTTTTGTGTCATTGAATGTTTTGTTTTGAGACAGGGGCTCACTATGTTGCCCTGGAACTCACTATGTAGACCAGCCTAACCTTGAACTCATAGAGGCCAGTTTACCTCTAACTCTGCCTCCCAAGTGCTGGGATTAAAGACATCCACAACCATGTTGAGCTGGACTTTTTTTTTCAGTCTTTTTGAGACAGGGTCTCCCTGTAGCCTCAGCTGGCCTGGAACTCAGTATGTAGACCAGGCTGGCCTTGAACTCACAGAGATCCACCTGCCTCTGCTGCCTGAGTGCTGGGACTAAAGGCGTGCGCTACCACGCCTGGCTTGAGCTGGACTTTTAATCCCTCTGTAAAATCCATAACTTAATTGAACATATTATATGTATATCTTTTCTTCAGATAGCAGATTTTTGAAAATTTGTTTTGATTCATTATTTTATGCATATGAGTGTATTGCCTGAGTGCATATAAGTGCACCCCTGTGGTGAAATGCCCATGGAGGTCAGAAAAGGGCATCAGATCCCCTGGAACTGGAGTTACAGACAGTTGTTAGCTATATCTCCAGCCCCCTCAGATAGAAGATTTGGTATAAATGTTCTAATATTGCTGTGTAGATAGTGGATTCTCAGTGGAACTGGCTTCTTATTGAGAAGAATATAATTCTGCTTGAGGGTTTAAGTACAAATCCGTGTCATGCCTGTGTGCATACCCAGTGAAACACTGGAAATAAAAATGATTTTGGTGATTAAAAAAAAAAGAGGAATTCAGATTTGTAGCTTTTATTGCCTAAATAGATGTTGCTTAGTGGTGGATAGAATTACTACGTTCTTTGAGCCTAAATCTCGAATTTTGTGTTTTGGTTTATGGTACGCATTTTAACTTTCTGTTCTTTGCCTCCCTCCGTTCCTCTCCTCCTTTGGGGGATCCAATCCAAGGCCCTGTATACCCAAGACTCTACTGCTGAGGTGCACCACCAGGTCCGGTTTTCTTCAGCAATGCTTTTATCCCTTGAATATTTGCTAGGTCAAATAAAATGGGTAAGAAAGCCTGTGCTTTACCCTCCTCACACCATGAAACCCCCAAAGGATAATTTTATGTGATTCCACTAGGGAAAGAAGGTGCCTATGTTAAAGTTACCATTAATGGGTTCCTTGGGTACGTAGCTTAAGCTGTTGAATCAGATATCTTTCCCAGTAAAGTCAAGATACTTAACTTAGGTTTCACATTGCTGAAGTTTGTTTTTGAAAAATCTGTTGTTTCTAATAGCATTTGTTTGCTAAGGTCAATACTTGGAGCTGGGAGTTTCAAGTACTCTATTTGTGGCTTGTGCCATGAAAAAAGATTATTTGGAAGAATATTACAAGCTTGTAGAAACCGGGGACGATTTAATCCATTGTCATTGTCAGGAAGAATAAGAACTGTGACAACTGTGGCGACTTGTGGCAAGCGATCAGGAGCATCTTTGTGAACTCAGCTGTTGAAATGACTCAGAGCCGTTTCTGTCAGTGCTCCACTTGGGGTTTTCCTTCCTTGGGACAGAGTCCATTTGCTCTAAGCTTAAGTCAGTGTCTACTCCTTGACAGGGTGATTGACAGGCCACCAAAGATACGTGAAATCCAAGAGGATTTCTAGAGGAAATTGGGGCAGTATTACTGAACAATGGGAAATGGGTAAACTGAGTAGATGCCTACTTCCGGCAAGATTTATCTCAAGACAAATTGGGTTTAAATGAGAGCTTTAACTTAGACAGTAAATGGTTTGGATATTACCTGAATTAAATTACCAAGTTATTCCTCTCGATGGAAAATCCGAGCAGTTTAAATGCACCAACAAATGTTTTACACTCAGTTGTGAAAATTTGTTATTTCCTGATTACATAAAAAACGCATTTAACTTTCCAAACATGCACAAAAATATCACACAAATATATGGAATCATCATCCAACTTCAACAACTGGCTTTTTTGCCCATTGAATTTCTTTTGCTTACATTTTAAAGCATCTTTAAAAGATGTTTTTACAGCTGACTATATAAAACCACGTAAGATTTCACATTTGCAAACTTCCTTTATCAACATAAATTGAGGTTTCAATTGGTCATTAGTCTTACACCAAAACAAACAAACACACAAAACAGACAACAAATGATAGACTGCTTTGTGCAGTAGTACATTATTCACCTGGAAATGGAATATGTTTTTTAAAAGGCTGCGGTTTTATCTTAGTAGCAGTTCATATACCTAGCATGCAGAAGGACCCAGCACTATAAATAATAATGGTAATAATACTAATCTTAAACCAGGCATGATGGCTCATAAATGTAATTCCAGCACTCAGGAGACTGAGACCAGATGGCTGCTGTGAGTTTAAGGCTACATGATGAGTTTCCAGGATAGCCTAGGATACAGTGTGAGACTCTTTTAAAAAAGATTTTAATTATGTATATGAATGTGTGGGTATGTGTACAAGAGTGCAGATGCTTTTGGAGGCCAGTGGTGTTGGATCCCCTGGAGTTGGAGTTACAGGCAGTTGTGAGCTGACCAACATGGGTATTGGGAACTGAACTTGAGTCCTCTGCAAGAGCAGTATGCGCTCTTAACTGCTGACCATCTCTCTAGTCCCCAGTGTGAGACTCTTGTCTCAAAAAACAAGCAAGAAATTTACTTTTGTCAATAAGACTATTTCCTGGCTTAAGTTTGACGAACCAGTTTCTTAACAGGTCTTTTTTTCAGATTACCTTTGCCAGGCTTGTCTTCTGATTCTGGGGGACTTTGGAGTGAATCTGAAGTTCTGCCTGACTATAAGCTCTCGACGTCAGCATGCACATGCATCGTGTGGAGCTGAATGTGTTCTCATCTCTTGCAGTTGAAAGATGCATGAGTGTGATGCAGTCCGGGACGCAGATGATCAAACTGAAGCGTGGCACCAAAGGACTCGTTCGTCTCTTTTACCTGGATGAGCACCGGTCTCGCCTCCGATGGCGACCATCTAGGAAGAGCGAGAAGGCAAAAAGTAAAACTAGCCTTTGAATTCTTTGCTTTGATGATGCAATGAGTGGTAACACGGACAATGCTAAGTAGGCTCTGTGGAAGCGTCCCATCTGAGCATTTTGTGCTCTTTCAAGTTTTGGTGTCAGTTAGTTATGAGACAATAAATAATGAACACCTTTAGGGAATTTAACACATAAAATTTTTCTTGTCCATAAGTCCTGTAAATGCTAATGTTCTCCCTGTGTTGGTGACATCGCATGTTTCTTTTTAATTGGAATATAAGGTTTCACAGCTCCAGACCTTTTCGCGTGAAAGGGACATCATGAATCCAATGGACTTCTAAAGTATATTACTATCTTTTGAACAATAATAAACCGATTCATGAATTAACAATATGTTTTAATGGCCATCAGGTAAAATTATTTTGGTCTAATTCCTGGTTGAAGTTTCTCTCTTCTATCTGTATTGCCAGGATTTCTCCAGAGAAACATTAGGACCAATATGGACTTGGATAGACATAGGAAGTTAGGAAGATTTATGAGGGGAGTTGGCTCAGGTGTTTATGGATGTTGAACCATAAACAATGTGGCAATGTGCCCTCTGCCATTTGGAGAATTACAGAAGCCAGTGGCATGGCTCAGCCTGAGTCTGGGGAGAAGGCCTTCCAGGATGAAAGCCTGAGATCCTGGTTAGCTGTGTGTATAAGTCCCACAGCCCAAAGGCCTGAGAACCTGAAGTTTTGATGTCTTAGGACAGGAGGAGATGAGTGTCTCAGTTCCAAGAGGGAGAAAGTTAGATTTTCTTTGCCTTTGTGTCCCATCTGGGATCGTAGCTGATGGTGCTGCTCACTTCAGTTGGGTAGACATGGCTGTTCCTTATTCAGTTCATTTATTCAAATATCCAATTCATTCCATAATAACTCCCAGATGTACTCAGAAATAATGCTGTACTAGCTATCCAGGTATCTCTTAAGCCAAACTTATCAGCATTGTAAATGAATATCATACATACCTTCTATATTTAACACCAAGTTCTTGTTGAGTTCACTGAAGCAGCTCTCATCAGCCCAGTTCTTTCTTTTTCATGTTGGCATCCTTGGTCAAGAAATCTGTTTGCCTTTCTGGTCGCCTATTGCAAATTCTCCTAAGCGGTTTTCATTTTGCTTTCTTCTGTCTATCAGAAACAGAAGACTTTGTCTAACATAAGCTTACATGAGCTTAAATAACAAGAAACTCAGAGATTAGTAAGACCAAGCATGGGACATTTTGACTCCCATTCTGTTCTCTGCAGTGCCCTCGGCTCTGTTCTTTGTGTGGTGACATTGCAGTCAAGGCAGTAGTGACATGGCTTCAGCTACTCTGGGTCACACGACCTGACAGAATAGTGAAGAAGCAGAAAAGGACCTCCTCCTCCTCCTTCCCTTCCTCCCCCCTTTTCTCCTTTTCTCCTCCCCCATGTCTCCTCCTCCTCTTTCCTCCTCTTTCTCCTCCTTTGTGAGGAGGAAGAACCGTTTTCTAGACCCTTCCCTCAAAGCAGACTGTCCATGTTTGCTTAGAGCTGAGTTTCATGCCCACACCTAAATCAATTTTAAGAAATAGGAGCAATGCTGGCCCAGTGACTTAGACCTGCTGTAACTTTCCCTGGGGGCCAAGCACCAACTCCTTTTGTGAATCCTGGTGTGATACTGAAGTCAAATCAGAACCTAACATCGAAGCAGAATGAAGAGCTGATGACAGTCAGAAGGGTGTGAAACATTTCTGATTCCCTTTTAAAAATATACAGGCAACAGAGACAAAAATTATTCTGATGTTCTCTTGGTCAGTATGTCTCTGATCGAAGCCTTGTGTCTTCCTGTGCTGTACTTACTAGGATGGACCTCTGCCTATTGTCCCAGCCACTAAGACCTAGGCTTTGTGCACCTCTCCAACTTCATCTCCCACTGTTCTGTCTCCTAAGTGGTCCAGGCCAGCATAAACTGCCTGCCCAGCATCCCTGGGCTTCATATTTCTGTCCATCCTGCCTCTTCCTGACCCTTCTGGGATGCCACCTTGTTCCTTACTGCTTCTCCGAGCCCTCCTGTTCCTACTTGGTTGGTAATATATATGGATTTTTCCTTTTAATTTCTTAACTACCTTCTCAAATATTTCATAAAACACCATTTGATTCTAGATCTTTGTACATTTTCTCTATACAAATATGCAAACTATACATTTGAAATATTTATTATCCACCTTTTCTACCAGTCTTTCTGCCCTGATAGGCACATCTACCTCTTTTCTCTAAATTTCAACATGTCCTGAGTGATTGCTTTTGGAAGACATTGTCAGGAATGCTCTGATGGTAAATTGTTAGGTATTCTCTTTTCAGGCTAGTGTTTCACATTTGGTCTTAAAAGTACAACTTATAGATATTGAATTATTTTTTCATACTTTTTTCTCTTAATTGAATTTTTGTGAATTTCATATATTGATGGTATTTAGATCCCCTCCCCTATTTGCACCCCCTTTCTATCCTCTGCTCTATTTCATGGGGTCTCCCCATAGCCCCAGCTGGCCTAGAACATGCTATGGAGACCAGGTTGGCTTTCATCTCACAGATATTTGCCTGCCTCTGCTGAGTGCTGGGATTAAAGGCACATACCCCCCGCACCTGGCTGTTTCTTCATACCTATAGAATGTTTTAAGTGATTTGACTTTCCTTATCTCTTAGTCACGTGTCTACCTGCCACATAACTGTGTGTCTGTCTTCCCACACAGTACTTATTGATTCCATCTACAAAGTCACTGAAGGGCGGCAGTCTGAAATATTCCACAGACAGGCTGAGGGGAACTTTGATCCCAGCTGTTGCTTCACCATCTACCATGGCAACCACATGGAGTCCCTGGATCTCATCACTTCCAACCCTGAAGAGGCACGCACCTGGATCACGGGCCTCAAATACCTGATGGCTGGCATCAGCGATGAAGATTCCCTTGCCAAGAGGCAGAGGACCCATGACCAATATCCTCCCTACAAATTCATGTTTGAGTTGTGTGCATGTGTGTTCCCAAGCGTGCGTAGGTGTGTGCATGCATATGTGCGTGCATGTGTGTGTGCGCGTGCGTGTGCACGTGTGTGTGTGTGTGCAAAGGGAGGATTAGACTGTGCTTTGCTTGTAATTTTGAGGCTTGAAGCTTCTCTCCTTTCTGTCTCTTTCTCTAACCCTTGCACTGTCCTCTCTCTTCCTTGCTCTTGTCATAAATGGATGAATAGATGATACAGAGATGATATAAATACATGTGAAGCCAGGAGCAGAATTCTGTAGAAATTAAATCTAGCTCCATAATATGATAGGTCTGCTATTAGACATTACTTTTTTATTGTAGGAAATTCATTAGCTCTAATTTGTCCCAGCAGTGAAGAAGCAAACTAAGACAGTCAGTTTAGTTTAACAAGTACTTTTTGAATTCTAATTATGCGGTGGACACTGAGCTCCTTCTGACTTTATACTCCTGTCAGGATTAGCGTTTGCTTTGCTCAGTGGTGGGCCTACTAGCTTCGGGGCAGAGAGACTTGGTTGGTGACAGAGTCTTGGACACTGGGACTTGTGTTTTTTCAACAAGCCATTTATTTCAAAATTCAGATGGTTTTTATACATCCCAAGGAACTGGAATCACATGGGATATAGCAATCATATGCAAAGGTTTAGGGTACAAAGAAATAGGACATATAGTCTGTTAGTTGGTGCCAGAAGCATGCTTAAATTTTTACTCAAGGTTACCAGTGCCCATCCTGCAATTTATTGGCCACAGTGTTTTCTTTCTTAGAGTTAAAAGCATAATAAACTTTTAGCTTTTAGCTCAAGAGTAAACCTTTAACCTGGCCTAATCTTTTAGCTATGGATAGCTGAGTTATTTGTTCAGGACAAGGAGATGAGCTAAGAGTTGTTGACCAAGACAGTTTCCCACAGATCAAGGAGCCTGCACTTATGACCAGGTTACTTTCTTCTGCTAGTCTTGCAGTGTTCTGTAAGACAGGGATTATCAGAGCTACTGTTTTCATCGCCCCTCCTTTTAGCAGAGAATGCAGCCTGGACTTAAAGGCTTCAGGCTCATCTCACCCTAGGGCCTGGCATCCCGGTTTCCTACATTCTCCCTCTTTTGAACTAATAGTGTGGACACTGAATTGATAGATACTGCAGAGGAAGCCATTTTCTATTTACTAACACTTACCATTTCCAAATTTCTGGAGAAATGAGTCTACACCTGATTCTTTTTTTGGGGGGGGGTCTTTTGAGACAAGTTCTCCCTGTAGCCCTAGCTGGCCTAGAACTCACTATGTAGACCAGACTGGCCTCAAAATCACAGAGATCCACCTGCCTCAGCCCCCTGACTGCTGGCATTAAAGGTATGTACCACCATGCCTGGCATCTCCACCTGATTCTTAAATTTTTTAAAAATTACATTCTTTAAATTTTTTGAGAACTTCAAACATGAATATAATGTGTTTTGATCAAGTCCATCCCACTTTCTCCTCAAACTGCTCCCACATCCCTCCCACTTTTCCCTTCTACATTCATGGACCCTTTTCTAAACTCATGGTGTAAGGTCATACACTGGGGCATGGGCAGCCTATCAGGGGCCTCGTCCAAAGAAAACTGAGTCTCCCTTCCCAAGCAACTGTCAGTTGTCAATAGCTCCTCAACTAGGGGGTGGGACTTCATGAGCCCCTCCCCATCCATGATAGGATTTTGACTGGCTTCATCTTGTATAGAACTTGTACATGTGAGTTCATGTATGAAATGTCCCTGGTCATGTCTGGAAAAAACACTGTTTCACAGCAGTCCTTCACTACCTTTGGCTCTTACAATCTCCCTGCCCCCTCTTCTACGGTGACCCCTGAGCCTTGAAGGGAAGCAAATGCCATATAGATGTGCCATTTAGGGCTGAGCATTCCACAGTTTCTTATTCTCTGTACTTTGACCAGTTGTGAATCTCTGTATTAATCACCACCTACTGCAAAAAGACTTTTCTGATGAAAGTTGAGAGCTGCACCAATCTATGGATAAGTACATAAGGGGCAGTTTAGTACTATGGAATTTAGCAGAATAATAATAGTAGGTTCTCCTCTAGGACCTATGACCTACCCAGCCACAGGTTCTTGGACCAGTTAACAGTACCAGGCATGAGTTTTGTTTTTGTAGAGCAGGACTTAAATCCAATCAGAAAGGGCATTGAGTCCCCTGGAACTGGAGTTACGGATGGTTGTTAGCTGCTGTGTGGTTGCTAGGTATCAAACTCACGTTCTCTGCAAGAGCAACTAGTGCTCTTAACTGCTGAACCATCTCTCGAGCCCTAATTCCCCCCTTTTGTTGTTATTGTTTAACTTTTTAAAAAAATATTTTATTTATTATTTCTATTTTATGTGTATGAGTGTTTTGCCTGCATTTATGTGAGTGCACCGTGTTGTGCAGTGCTGTGGAGGTCAGAGGAGGGCTTTGGATTCCCCTGGAACTGGAGTTAAGGACAGTTCGTAGCTACTATGTGGGTTCTGGGAATTGAACCTGGGTTCTCTGCAAGAGCAGTCAGTGCTCTTAACCGCTGTGCCATTTCTCTAGCCCCTTTATAGTTTAACTTCCAAATTGGCCAAGTGTGGGGGTGATTGTCTTTAAAATCAGCACTTGGGAGGTAGAGACAGATAGATCTCTATGAGCTTAAGGCCAGGTAAGTCTATATAGCAGTTCCAGATCAGGCAGGGCTACATAGTGAGACAATCTCAAAAAAAAAACAAAAAAAAAAAAAAAAAAAAAAAGCGAGACTCCATTGATACTTTGTTTACATGGCTCTGTATTGATATTTGTCATATTAGAAACTAAATTTGGGGGCTAAAAAATTAATTTATTTAACATCATAGTAAACTATACTGCCTATCGACATAACTATGAAGTAACTATATTTTTCCAAGGAAGCAGGTTAGAGAATGATGTTACTTCACTGCCTCACAAGTATAATACTGGGTGTCAAAGAACACGTGTTTTTATGTCTATTTCTGTACTTAGTCTGTGATGTTGTACTGGCTTAGTTGAAGCACATAAAGAAAATCCAGTTTCACACAGATAGGATGTGAAATAGGCAACTTGGTGGCATCAGAGACGCCAGGGTTGGGATGGCTGTCCTAAGGTCAAGGTTCACCTCTTTCCCCTTTAGCTCCCAGTCACCATCCAAGTATCTGGCTCCTGGATACCTGAATACAATTGAGGTTCTTCCTGCCGGAAAGAAGGGAAAGCAGATGGCTCTAGGGTGGCCATCAGTTCTGGAAGCTGCTGTCTGCACCCATCTAATTAGGACATGCTTGAAATATTCCAAGCCTTTATCACATAAGTCTGTGTCATAATCCTTGACGTAGACTAGTGAGAGCCTTTTTGCTTTATCGGTCAGTTTGTGTTTTTTAAACATTTTATTTATTATTTTTATGTGTTTGTGTGTATTGTCTGCATGTAGGTAAGTGCACCCGTGTCATGCAATGCCCATGGAGGACA